CGACACCCACCCCAGCCTGGCGCTGCCCCCTGGCGGCGTGGAGGAGCACGGGCCGGCTGTCACCCTTTAGCGCGGGGGCCGCCCTGCAGCGCCGGGCATCTCCCTGTAGCATCCTGTCCCAGCCCGAGCGTCCTGACCACAGTCTGGCGGCAGGGACCAGTCCCCTCCCGTTTTTAAAATAAGATAATTGTATATGTCACCCCTCCTCTGTGTTTTTATTTATCCCTCCTTTTGCTTCCACAACCCTCCTAGATGTTTCAACTTATGGACAGAAAATAAAAATACTGCCTATTTTTTATAAATCTCTCCACAAACAGAAGGTGCACACTTGCGCGCGCACACCAGGCCCATTGCAGGTCCGGGGCCTTTGTAAAGTTATTTTCTGACCAAGTGTAGGAAATACGTCCTTTTTAAAATTTTAAAAAAGACTTTATATTTTTAAACAAAGCTTTAAAATTACCCTTTCAAAGGGCAAATTCATGTTTTTAACTTCAGCGATGCAAACACACCTACTTGTTGGCACCGCGTCTTCTGTGTTTCGCGTGGATCCTTCTGGTGGGCTGGACGCTGTGAAGAAGGTACATGGCAGGAAGGGAAAGACTGGTTTTTAAGAACAGACGCACCCACATCTCTAATAGGTATGACTGTAGAAGACAAATTTCAAATTGTCAGTTATAGTCCTGTTTCAAATAGCCAAATGGGAGCTGCACCCCCAGACCTCACTGGGAAAAGGAGCGCTCCTGACTGAGGTCATGCCGGGTGACCTGGGACGCCCCGAGGGCTGTCAGTTGCCCTCAGGAAAGCAGCCAGCTCTGCTCGCAATACCTTTTGTGATCAAAAGCCAGTATTTACTTGGAGATAAAAAACCAGTCTTTTCCATGACTTCACTTTCTGAAATGTTTCCATAGAAATGGTGGACAACCCTACCCCACCTCCAGGCAAGCCTTTGAAAGCTCACAGACATTTGGGCCGATGTCTGTTACCTTCATTTTAAAATATCTTCATATGAAACGTAATGATTTTTTAACACAGATTCGATCCATTGCAACTTCCCTTTGATCTTGTAGCAATATTTACATATTTAGGAATTTCAAATGTTTTATTCCGTGTTTATACCAATGAAGTTTTATATGAAGTGTATATTCTGTTTGAATCCGATATTGAGGAGAAAATGTTACAGTTATATTTTGAGGACTAACCTTTGACCAAATAAAGCTTTCATATAACTACAGGTAAAAATATTTTTTTAGGTGGCCTTTCATTGCAGGTGCTTGTCCTATGGCCCAGCACCCACTGCTGGTCAATGGCAGAACTGTCCTTCCTTCATGGATGTCAGACTATCTGAAAACTATCTCACTGTTTTCATGAACTTGTTAAGTGAAAAGCAAATTATTTTCCTTTTGTGCATAAAGTATTTATTGTTCAGAAATAGCTTTTATTGAGTACTTGTTCCCCGCGCCTGTGTTTGATTTTTTTATTTGAATGCCCGTCTCTCTCCTACCCATTTTCCCCCAGGCACAGGGAAGACCAAAGACACTCCCCACTTTGAGGTCCTAGTGAGAGCGTACACACTTCCAAATTTATGGGCTCCAACGAACTGTGCAAGCATCTTGTTTGGTGCCCCAGCAGTCGGAGGTATTTTTTTTCTACCATGACACGTATAATAGAACCAAAACTCTAATGCTAACATACTACCACAAAGGAAATGTTATTTTACTAAGTTATTGCTGGTTCAAGAGTATCTTGTTGAATAACTGGGTCTGTTACCAAGAAATAAAGTTATATTTCTTACCATGTTTTAAGTTGTTAAGCAAATGTGAATAATTTTTTTTTTAAAAAAAGATGGTGCGCTATTCAGAATTTTAGGAGTTATGAACTGCTTGGAATAGCTGCTTGCGTGTATTTTTCTACCCAGGTCTATACTTCTGCCACTTTCTTTAAAAAGCAAACAATATTGTATTATGTATTAAAGTTTTCTTGGTTTTATATATCAAAGAATAAAAACATTTTCTTTGTGTTCTTCAGTTGTGTTCTAAATAACAGAGAGAATATCAGTGTTAACAAAACAGATAAACTTATAGCTCTGGTGAGATGCCTGGAATACTTACGATGTGCCTGTCATGGGTCATATATATACATATTTTTTAAGCCTCACCCAAGGATATGTTTTTATTGATGAGAGAGAGAGAGAGAGAGAGAGAGAGAGAGAGAGATTGATGTGAGAAACATCTATCAGTTGCCTCCTGTACACTTCCTGACCAGATTTAACTTGACCAGGTTTGACCAGGGATTGAACCCGCAACCTGGGCATGTGCCCTGACCAGGAATCAAACTCATGACCCTTTGGTGCAGGGGAGAATGCTCCAACCAAAGGAGCCACACTGGCCAGGGCTATCATGGGTCATATTTTTTCACTTAATCTTCACATGTTCTCCATGAGGTAAGTATTATCCTCATTATACAGATAAGAAAATGGGTCCAAACAGTAGTGTCATTTTAAATTACCAAATTATAGACATATTTGGTGGGAGATTGATGTGTCTTAGGTCTATAACCTTCTTTTGAAGTCCTTTTGAAAAAGCTTTTCTGAATTCTTACACAGCTCCTCCTAAATATACTCTGATTTGCAAAATTTGCAATAACACATATCATCCCACTTCTGGATTAAAAAACACACAAAGAAACATTAATTTTAAAAATAGAATGTATATTTTTTTTCATGAGGATCCAGATATCCTGGCTCCCAGCACTGGATTTTTCTATTAAATAATATTTCGTGCCCTGGCCGGGTAGCTCATTTGGTTAGACAGTCATCCTAATATGCCAAGGTTGTAGGTTGGATCCTAGGTCAGAGCACGTACAAGAAGCAACCAATGAATGTATAAATAAACGGAACAACAAATTGATGTTTCTCTGTCTCTCCCTCTCCCAAATCAATGAAAATATTTTAAATACCTCCTTTGATGATCCCCCCAGTCAAGAAGTTAACATTGATATGTTACAACCATCTAATCCCTGACCTCATTCCCACTTCGCCCCTTGACTCGATAATGCCCTTTACAATAAAATGGCCAGTTCAGAATCACTCATCACAGTTAATTGTCTTCAATCTCCTTCAATCTGTAACTTTTTCAACCTTCCTTTGTTTTCATGTCCTTGACACTTCTGAAGGCTACAGTTATTTTGTAATTTGGTTTTGTCTGAGGATGTCCCATGGTAAGTTTTGGGTAATGTCCTTTTGGCAGGAATAATCATAGAAGTAACGCTGTTCTTCATACCCTTGAACAGATGGCACACCATTTTGATTTGTCCCATTACTGCTGATGTCCATTATTGCCCTGACCGCACCATCAGGGTGGTCAATCTGTGAGGGTTCCCCACCAAAAAGCTATTCTTTCTCCCTTTGTAATTAAGTACTTTTTAGGGAGGTATTTTGAGACTATGGAAATATTATTCCTCATCAAATTTCAAGTAATTCATTTCTATCAGTATAAGCTTGTGGATTCCTATTTTATTCAATGAATTAGAATCCATCATTATCATTATTTATTTTGATATAAAAATGTCTCAGATTTGGCTATTGGGAGTCTCTTCAAGCTGGCTTGTGGATCTTCATTACACCCCCCATCATTCCTGAAGCACATTCTTGCTTTCTGGTTCAACAAGATGTTTCATGTTCACCTTATACTTTTCCCGCCTCAGACAAGCAGCCTTTTCTTCCAGGAGCTCTGGTTCCTTTTGTGGAAAATGGTATTTAACAGTCAAGCTTTCCACCCTGCTTCCAGGCCTCCCAGAGACAGAACTGGCTATGTGCATGTGTGTGCACTAAGAACACATGAGTACACATACATGGTAAGAGGGGGTCAGCTACCAGGACTCTTCTCTATGCAGGTTCCCTACGAACCCATGTGCAGGTTCAACACCCCCTGCCAAGCCAGTGCCCCCTCTGGTCCCATTCCACACTTGGCTGCCCTCTGCACACTTGGGCTTCTCTCATGTGCAGAAATCCTCCTCACTGCACGTGCGCTGACAATGGCTATCATCTCTTCCTGCCCCATCCAACCTTGGCTTCCTTCCTGCTCCCCACACCAGGTCCTCCCAAACCTGTGTGTTCCCGGGGGTGTTTTGCCCCCATTTATGACTGAGCGGGAAGGAGGGGGAAGAGATGGGCAGTGTGAAGTTCTTGATGCAAGCACACAGACATACTGCCATGTGAGTAATATCAAGCGTATTTACTCAGCAAAATAACAGCAAGAATTTGTAAGCTTCTCGGACTCTGATCCCACATCCTCTGTTCTGTCCTTCTCCCTGATCCTGCAGACACAGCACAGGCTGCCACTTAAGTCTGGGGGCTCCGTATTTTACTGCTTTATCCCCAGCATCAACAGAGACTTGCACGTAATAGAATTCAGTGGATATATGGAGAATAAGCCATGAATTTCAGGAAATTCAGGAAACAGAATTTCAGGAAAGAGGCAGGAGAAATGGTTGCTAGTAACCCCAGCTCCACAGGCAGCGCAGGTGGTGTGAGTGGGCCTGGCAGGCACCTATTCAGACTCGCCAGGTGGTGGTGAGGTTTTTTTCAACAACTCCCCCCCTCCCCCCCTGCTGGTGTCTTCTGGCTCCTTGTTTGTAACCCCCACAGGCAGTTTCCAACCCTGGA